GCTGTGACTGTGCCACTGCACTTGAGCCTGGGCAACAGAGCGCTACCCTGTTTAAAAAGAAAGAAAGAAAGAAAGAAAAAAAGAATAGCATAGAACAGACTCAAGTTACTAAAATCAGAAATGAAAGTGGGATATTACTACTGACCTCACAATTAAAAAGGATGATAAAAGATTGCTATGAGGCTGGGCACAATGGCTCATGTCTGTAATACCAGCATGTTGGGAGGCCAAGGTGAGAGGATTGCTTAAATCTAAGAGTTTGAGACCAACACAGCAAGACCCCATCTCTACAAAAAAATTTTAAAAAACTAAGTAGGTGTGGTGGTGAATGCCCGTGATCCTAGCTACCTGGGAGGCTGAGGTAGGATTGCCTGAGCCTGGGAGATCTAGGCTGCAGTAGCTATGGTTGTGCCCCTGCACTCCAGCCTGGGTGAAAGAGACCCTGTATCAAAAAAAAAAAAAAAAAAAAAAAAAAAGGATTACTATCAACAATTATATGCCAACAAATTAGATAGCTAAGATAAAATCAAGGCGGGTGGATCACAAGGTCAGGAGATTGAGATCATCTTGGCCAATATAGTGAAACCCTGTCTCTACTAAAAATACAAAAATTAGCCTGGCATGGTGGTGCCCACCTGTAGTCCCAGCTACTCTGGAGGCTGAGGCAGAAGAATTGCTTGAACCTGGGAGGAGGAGGCTGCAGTGAGCTGAGATCATGCCACTGCACTCCAGCCTGGGCAACAAGACCAAACGCCGTCTCAAAAGAAAAAAAAAGAACAAATTCCTAGAAATATACACATGACCTAAAACTGATGCAAAAAGAAACAGAAAATCTGAACAGACCTGTAAGAGATTAAATAATTGAAAACATCCCCCCAAAAGAACAACCTAGGACTGGACAGCTTCACAAGGGAATTCTTTTTTTCCCCCTCAGCCTCTGACTTTCACACTGGCGAATTCTGTTAAAGAAGAATGAACACCAATTCTTCTCAAAGTCTTCCAGAAAACAGAAGAGCAAATGCTTGATACTTCATTGTATAATGCTAGCATTAACCAGCTATCAAAGCCGGACAAAGATACTGTAAGAATAGTACAGATCAATATTCCTCATGAATATAGATGGAAAAATATTCAAATACTAGCAAATCAAATCCAACAACATATCAAAAGGATTATACAACATGACCAAATGGGATTTATGCCAAGAATGCCAAGGTGATTCGACATATGGAAACAAATCAATGTACTACACCCCATGAATAGAATGAAGGAAATAAGCCACATGATCATCTCAATTGATACAGAAAAAGCATTGGACAAAGTTCAACAACCTTTAATGATGAAAACACTCAGAAAGCTAAGAATGAAAGAAAACTTTGGGCCGGGCACAGTGGCTCACTCCTGTAGTCCCAGCAATTTGGGAGACCAAGGCAGCAGATCAGTTGAGGCTAGGAGTTTGAGACCAGTCTGGGCAACACAGTGAGACCCCTGTCTCTCTTTCTATGTATAAAACGTTTATTAGCCAGGTGTGGTGGCAGGTGCCTGTAGTCCTAGCTACTTGGGAGGTTGAGGTGGGAGGAATGCTTAAGCCCATGAGGTAGGGGATTCAGTGAGCCATGATTGTGCCATAGCAGTCTAGTCTGGGTGACAGAGTGAGACTCCATCTCTAAAATACTAAATAAAAGAGAAAGAAAACTTCCTCAATAAGAGAAAGGGCATTTATAAAACACCCACAGGTGACATCATACTCAATGGTGAAAGGCTGATAGCTTCCCATCCAAGAACAGGAACAAGTCAAGGATGCTCACTTTAGCTACTTGTATTTAACACTGTTGAAATCTCCAGTCAGAGAAATTAGGCAAGAAATCCAAGGCACTCAAAATGGAAGGAGGAAGTAAACTGTAGAAGGCAAAGATACATAGAAACTCCTTAAAAATCCATAACAATTCTTAAGGGCTAACAAATCCAGCAGAAATGCAAGATACAAGATCAACATGCAAAAATCAGTTGTATACGGTTGTATACACTGGCAATGAACAGCATGAAAAGTAAATTCAGAAAACAATTACATTTATGGTAGCACCAAAAAGAACAAAATATTTAGGAGTATATTTAACTAGGGAGATACAAGAAAAGTACACTGACATGTATAAAACTTTACTGAAAAAAATTTTTAAACACCTAAAAACAGAAAGGCATCTTTTGTTCATGGATTAGAAGACTTCATATTGTTAAGATGATAATACTCCCCAAAGTGATATAAAGATTCAATACAATCCCTATCAAAATCCCAATGGCTTTTTTTTTTTTGCAGAAATGGAAGAGCTGATTTTAAAATCCATGTGGAATTATATGTAAGGCACCCAAATAGTTAAAACAATCTTGAAAAAGAGGAAAGGTGAAATACTCAACATTTTCTGATTACAAAATTTACTAAAAAGCTACAGTAATCAAAACAGTGTAGTACCAGTGTAAGATTGATATATAAGAAGAATGGAATAGACTTAAGAAATAAATCCACACAGCTATGGGTCCAGATATAAACCCATACAGCTATGGTCAAATGATCTTCAACAAGGGTTGATAAGATCATTCAATGGGAGAAAGAATAGTCTCTTTGACAAATGGTACTGTGACAATTGGATAACCACATGCAAAAATAAAGTTAAACATTTACTTCATATCATATACAGAAACTAACTCGAGATCAAAGACCTAAACATAAGAAATAAAACTGTAAAACTCTTATAAGAAAACACAGAAGTAAACCATGAGCATTGATTTGGCAATGGTTTCTTAAATATGACACCATGACATGTAGAGAGCTTGTAAGTGAAAATTTTAAAAAAAAAAATGACACCAAAAGCACAAGCAACAGAGAAAAAATAGACTAACTGGACTTCATTAAAATTAAAAACTTATGTGCAAACGTCACCACCCCGTAAGAAGGCAATTCACAGAACCGGGGAAGATATTAGCAAATTATTTAACATCCTGAATATTAAAAGAATTCTTATAACTCAACAACAAAAAGACAACCCAACCTATTTTAAAAAGCCAAAAAATGTGAATAGACATTTCTACAAAGCAAATGTACAAATGGCCAAATAAGCACATGAAAAGATGGTCAACATTATTAGTCATTAAAGAAATGAGATTCAAAATCACAATTAACTACCACTTCAAACTAAGATGATTATAGTATCTGAAAACCAGAAAACAGCAAGTATTGAAGATATGGAGAAATTGGAAACCTCATACATTGCTGGTGGGAATAGAAAATGGCGTAGCTGCTGTGGGAAAGTTGAATGGTTCATTGATAAGCACAGAACTACCATATAACCCATCAGTTTCACTCTTATATTCCCAAGAGATTTTAAAATAGGGACTTCAACAGATAATTGTACACAAATCTTCATGGCACCATCATGTACAATAGCCAGAAGGTGGAAGCCATCCAAATGTCCAACAACTGATGAATGGATAAACAAGATATTGTAATATACATGTTACTATTCAGCCATAAAAAGGAATGAAGTACAAGACGTATGACTTGGAGGAACCTTGAAAACATGATGTTAAGTGAAAGAAAACAGATACAAAAAGTGACATGATTCCATTGATAGGAAATATCCAGAATAGGCAAATCCAGAGAGACAGAAAGCGGTGGTTTCCAGAGGCTGGATGAAAAGGGGGAATGGGAAATGACTGCTTAACGGTACCATTTCCTTTAGAGTTTACGAAACTTCTGGAACTACATAATGATGGTTGCATACTGTGAATGTACTGTCAGAATTGAACACTTTATCATGGTTAGAATGGTAAATTTTATGTGTACTTTACCACAATAAAAATAGTTTTATCTGTGACAAAACTATTAAGTTCTAACGTGCCAATGCAACACATTCTTACATTCTACATCAAATAGAAAGGGTTTTAAAACAAAAAAAGGTTAGGGTTTTTTCCACTATGCTAGAGATAACTTCTAAGAATTGTTAAACATAAAGGTACACTATGTGGCCATTCAAAAGAAGAAATATCCTTTTTTATAAAGGAGGAAAGGGGAAAAAGGAAAATAATTGAGCAAAGTGTTTGATTTGACTGAGTGTTTACAGGTGAACAAACTTCACTATTCAAATGTAAAACAAGCTTTTTTTATAGGACACTGAAAAATATTCATTAATGAAGCATTAGCAAGATATCATTTTACAAAGCATAAGTATGCAAATTTTCATTGGTACTGCTCTTTTCTTTTTAATGAACAATTTGTTTCGGCAATTTTATGTACGTAAGAGAACAGAACATGCTTACAACACTCCTGCCATTCACAGCATTAAACAGAGTGATCATGAAAACAAAAACCAGCTAATTTTAAAAGATTTATGAATATCAAGATTAAAAAACAAACTTCTCAAATCTTTAGATACAGATGCCTAAATAAGCTGTTTTTCTGAACTGTACACTCATGTACACAGCAAAAATTTCAAGAGTGTGGCTAAACATCATATTAAGACTATTCAAGCAGACCCAGGAACTAGATTCAAAAACTCTGAGGAACATCTTACTATGAGTATTTGGCCCAGAACTCAAAAAAGTATTAACAGAAAAGGAAGATCAAATGCCGTAACTAAAATAAGAATAATCTTTTCTTCTCCCCTGAACTCAAATCTAGACTCATTTCATATTGACTTTATGAAACAATTTGACATTGAGGATTTGAATGAAGCCATGTTTATACTTGTATTTGCATTTTCTACAATGATGTCCATGAATAATTATTCACCTTGACGATTCCTGGGAATTTTCCTCATCTTGTTAACCATACCCTCCCCCATACTCTTATAGTATTACCACAAAACAATCACAAAAAATTTTAAAAAGTTTAAAAATAACAAAATTGACAAATGTGAGTTCATTAGAAATTGTTAGGGAGATTTTAAGTCCTGTGGTTTTTTAACTTTCTTACAATACTTAAATTTTAAAGATCTTCTCTAGAAACTTTTTTTTAAATAAAAGTTTTATTGGAGAAAAATAGAACCACCACGTACACAGGGAAAAGAGCACAAAAATTCAACTGATACAGAACAACAACTGAAAAATCACAATTATCCAATGTAGTTTGCTATTACTTTTCAGTTTCTTAAACAGCTCCCATCAACTTGTTTTTTTTTAACAGTCTTGCTAGTTTTTCAGCTAAAACAGCATCAAGTTTTCAAAAACTTAAAAGCTTCAGGGAGGAGACCTGCTTTCAAGATAACAAAGATGACATCAAGAGTTTCCTTGTAACAGGACCAACTCTATCTAAAAGTTGCTTAAGAATAACTCGAATCTTGTGTAATAGTCTACATCTCAGAGACCATCAGGGATGTTAGAACACTGTTGTTGATGGTCCGGTATGAAGAGAGGGCAAACAAAATAGCTGCATTTGCTTGTCAGCTGAGCTCATATAAAGAAATCGGAGAGGAGCTGAGAAAATATAGGCAATGGCTGCTCAATAAGAATTATAAGTTCTGAATACCACATATAGTTAGACACCAGTGTGCAAGTTGACGCAAAAGAAACAGGCAACTTTAAAAAATACTTGGCCACAGGTCTTCTAGAACTCAAGAAAACAATCAACAGCAGACATAAGATTCAAAAATCTCCTCAAGTTGAACATTAGGACATAGGTAATCTTCCTAACGGCTCCAACAGGCAAGGTAATATACTGTGGCAAAAAGCATTAAGTAGTTCTGATTTTTAAAAAACAAAAACAAAATTTTCTGCTTCTCCTCCCTTCAATGCTTCAAGGAAATAGAAGGAAGCAAAACAAAAACAATAGAACACTGATGGTAAAGGGAAGCCTTTTGCTCAATTTGAAAAACAGTACTTTTGCCATTTCGTATATATTAACAATCCTGGGTCATTTTCCTGAAAAGCAGGTGTCCAATGGCTAAGATAACTCAACTTCAAGCAATTCTGAAAGGAAGACCAGCATGACACAGAATGTCAAATTCCCCAACAGAGGCTGTGTGGGAAAAATGAGGGAGGACCTTTATATCTAGGGTTTTAGGAAGTTAAAATGAGGATGACAGGAAAGGTTTATTTATCAAACAAAGAGAAGAGTTGGGATGTTTCCAAAAAAACTTTGGTAGAGAAAATAGAATGCTAAATCCTAGGAAGCCTGTAACAATCTACAGTTGGTCCAAGTTGAAGACAAAACTGTCCTAACAACATTTAAAGTCTAAAATATGTTGAAAACTAGTTGACAAGTTTTTGCTCCTGTAACAATTTACAAAACACGTTCATTTTGGTCTCTTTTGCACTTTTCTTATTGTATTCATTTTTAATATAAAGAAAGAGTTGGAATATTTTCTCTTCTATGATGTTCCTCTAGTACAACTGATCATTAATTTTCTATTTTAGCTATTTTTATAAGTATGTGTTAATCAGCACAGTAAACTCGGGGCTAAGCCATATATACACATCCCATACTCATAAATGGAAATTTTTAGGATGTGAATATACAAGATATTACGTAAGCAACTGTCCCCCTACTTGAAAACTTGTTTCCAAATAATTTTTCTTTTAAAACAACATCCCTTTCAGTGTGACAGAACATTACCTAGTAAAATATCAATAGCTATGACAACTTGTTTCTCTTTTCAAGGGAAACCACGAAATGGGTGAACAACCAAGTCAAGGGTGGTTTTTCTATTTGATAAATACATCCAGAACTCTGTACAGTAAATAAAGTTTGCATGCAGTTTAAGTGTCTTTAAATGACATTTTAAGCAAATAAACCTTCTGCTTCATATTTAATGGTGTATAAGAACCCTCCCCCCTTTTTAATAGCCGCAGGGATCTCTTTCCCAGTTCCAAAGAGGAATTTATGAAGACCAGGTACGTTCTTAAGTGTTTTCTGCACATCATACTAAATAACATGCAAAGAGTTCAACAACATTCTTCTTAAAGGTAAGTATTACTCTTTAAAACGGCCATGTTAACCACTGAGAAAAAGTCCACTCAACTATTTCCATTAATTACACTGCTTCATTTGGTCATCGGTAGTAAAAAAGGAGTCAAATAATATTGAATCAACAGGTTAGTTTATCCACTGGCTACTGCATATGACACCAAATGCAAGGCCAACATTTTATGCAATATAGTTGTACTGGTTTGGGTTTTCTTTATCTCTTTCCATGTAGTCCCGATCTATTAAGGATTCTATTCTCTTCTTAAGATCAGCAGGCTGTAAGAGAAGGCAAACTTTCAATGCAAGGTTCATTATCATTGGCTCAAGCCCATTTAGTTAACACCCCATTAAAAAGACAACAGTTTTGGCTCATGAACTTAATCTCTTTTTAAAAAATTTATTTAAATCCCTTTTTTTAGAGAAAAGTATCATGAAAGTAAACCAAGTTAATAAATATCATATGCACTGAAGATTCTTTAACACCCGAAGTATTTTCGATTTTTTTTTTGTAGTTTTATTTTTTTTAATAGACAGGGTCTTGCTATGTTGCCAAGGCTGACCTTGAACTCTTGGTCTTGAGTGATCTCCCTAGCCTCAGCCTTACAAAGTACTAGGATTAAAGGTGTGAGCTAACATGTCTGGTCCTGATTTTTTCATTTTGGAATACTTGCATATATATATAGTGAGATACTTTGGAGATGGCACCCAAGTCTAAACACAAAATTCATTTATGTTCCACACATATCTTGAATAGACTGAAGATAACTTTATATCTTTTATGCATGAAACAAAATTTTGACTGCAACCTGTCAAATGAGGTAAAGTGTGGAATTTTCCACTTGTGGCATCATGTTGGCACTCAAAAAGTTTCCAATTTTGGGGCATTTCAGATTTTGGATTTTCACATTAAGGGTGTTCAACCTGTGCTATATACTATACACACATTAAACTGTCACACCTTTGTCATATTGTTACGCAATACTTTCTATGCTTTTCTGTTTTAAAGAGGTCTCCCAGAAGCAGCTGCCTTTTGCCTGGTTAAATACAAAAGACTACATTTATTGTAACTTCACATGAGGACTATATGGCAGTTTAAGGACACAGAATACTAGTTTTGTCAAGATAGTTTGTGAAGGACACCTTTACTTTGGGCAAGAGTTAGTTGGTTTCATTTTTGTAAATTAAGATTTAAAATATATTGATGAAATCATTATTTAGACCAGGTGTGGTGGTTCATGCCTGCAATCCCAGCACTTTGGGAGGCTAAGATGGGTGAATCACCTGAGGGCAAGAGTTCGAGACCAGCCTGGCTAACATGGCAAAGCCCCATCTCTATTAAAAATGCAAAAATTAGCCAGGTGCAGTGGTGCACACTTGTAGTCTCAGCTACTAGGGAGGCTGAGGCAGGAGAAACGCTTGAACCTGGGAGGTGGAGGCTGTAGTGAGCCGAGATTGTGCCACTGCAATCCAGCCTAGGCAACAGAGCAAGATTCCATCTCAAAACCACCACCACCACCACCACCACCACCACCACCACCAAAATCACTATTTAAAAGAATACTGGCTGAGCACAGTGGCTCTCTGTAATCCCAGCACTCTGGGAGGCCAAGGCAGGTGGATCATGAGGTCAGGAGTTCGAGACCAGCCTGGTTAATATGGTGAAACCCTGTCTCTACCAAAAATACAAAAATTAGCCAGGCCTGGTGGTGCACACCTGTAATCCCAGCTACTCGGGAGGCTGAGGCAGAAGAATAGCTTGAACCCGGGAGGCGGAGGTTGCAGTGAGCCAAGGTGGTGCCACTGAACTCTAGCCTGGGTGACAGAGTGAGACTCCATCTCAAAAAAAAAAAAAAAAAAAAAAAAAAAAAAAACAACTACATGAAATGGCTTGATAAATGAAGCATCTCACAGTCTTCATATTTTTGGTTTAATGTATCTAAGTGACTTGGATTTCTGTATCTTGAGATTTAAAAGTAATTAAGAAAGCTTGTAGCTTTATCTTCATGATTGCATTCTAAGCTCTTGGATGACCACCACTATATGTCTTATATATTTAGCCTGTAAATATAATATAATCTTGTTTGCTAATAGAAGGTTTTTCAGGATAAGTAAAATGACCACTTGTTCAAGAAGGGAAAACAGGGAAGGCAGTCTGATGCAGCAGTGAAAATTTTATCCAGTAATCCCAAGGTTTGGAAATCAAATGACTTTCTCTTTATTGTGAAAGACCTAGAATATCAGCACAATATTAACTACAGCGATCCCCTAATTTCCCTAGCATCAGTGATCTCTCTGGCTTGAGGTGAAACGATCGTTAGGCAGAGCATGAGGGTGAAAGTGTGGTAATGAGGAGGCAATATTAGGTTTGGAGAAAAGAAAATGCTTACCTTATTAGAACTAAGAGCTACTGAGTGCTTATTATGTACCAGGTCCAGTACTAAGATTTTTTACATTCATGATCTCATTTAAACCTCACAATAACCCTACAAGGTAAGTACTACTATTATCTCCATTTTACAAAAGAGGAAACAAGATCAGCAAGGTTGAGAGATTTATGGAAGTCCAATGCTCATAAGAACCCTAATAGCTAGCAGATCTATCCAAACTCTACCAATGTTTATCATCCAAGGGTTTGGTTAGCTACCTCCTAAAACTTGGAAAATAGGCCGGTACAACATCACATTAAGTGACTTTAGTATTGGGCATTCATATTGGAACATTTCCATTTAATAACAAATTTCACTTTACCAGAACTACCACTACACTTTTCAAAAAGATGCTTAATGATGACTAGTTATCTGTATGGTTTTTAATAGATGATTTCTTATGTAAGCTACCTAAACAGAAGATTTAACTAAATCTACAATAACCAAATCTGTGAATATGATGGTACTTGAAGAGGAAAAAAAGTAAATAAACCAATAAGTTCAAAAGAAATACAGTGAATAAACTTGTAAATTTCAAAGACTCATTTAGCAGCTAGACTTTCAGGTATCCAAGCTTTTGTAAGTTATTTTCCCCTTTTGTCACTGCTGCCCACATATGCCAAGAAAATTTTTTTTGGAAATCATATGCATCAACATGGGAAATTAAAACTTTTCTCTCTAAATGGTCATGATGCTTTAATCTGTTTGCAACATTTGTGTCTGAAAATCTAATGTACTTTTATTTATAATGTGTTCAATAGGAAAACATGGAAGTACCTACCTTAACTGGAAATTTCAACTGGTTGTATACTTCTGAAACAAGGAGATTGTGGCTAAGTGTCTTTCTCATCTTCATAATTCGAACAATTGCAGCATCAATTTGATACTGTCTGTCTTGAAATACTCTTTCTGTAGTACTTGCTTGTTCTTCAACCTAACAAAAAAGTTTTAAACCTAAGAATTATACCAGAAGCAAAATGTGACCACATAAATTATGCATTTTAGGGACATGACATTGTTATTGCTTTAAAGACACTGAGTTATCTAAATGGGGCCTTATAGACACTGACAGAGGAAAAAAAACCTACAAACATAACTTTTTTCTGTTCTGATTATATTGCCCTATACCAATGAAGTAATGCCAATACTAGTCAATAGAAAAACATCATTTTTGAATTGCTTTTCTAGAAGTAGAGATAGCTGATGCAGAATTTACCATTTTCTTTTTTTACTCTGTCTTTGATATCTTCTAAAAGTGTGTATTAGTTTCAATTCAATGGGTTGTTAACCAGATTTCTCTAGGACAGTAGCTTGTTTATAAAGTGACTAACTCTATTTGACCTCTGACTCAAGGCATTGTACTAACTGTCTAAGCAAACTAGTTAGGAGTCAAACTCTTTGAAAATTAATTTTTATTTTGTAATATATAAATCAGACATGCATGCCATTTGTGCTTACAATCCTTCAAGACTTACAGAAATGTAGGCATTTAGGAGTTGGTTTACCAATCTTGATGCTAAAGTAAATACGTTCATCTTTAGCAACTAAACCAAAAAACCCGTTTGGGCTTTTTGCAACAGTTTCTTCCTGGTACAGCATAAATGTTCTAAAACGACATGGTAATCCTTTAAGGAAATATCCTGTCTTTGATGTGTATGTGAAAAAGACAGGAACTTGTCTGAAGATACTGGTTGCTGTCCTACATTAAAACTTTTTTTTTCGGCCAGGCACGATGGCTTGCACCTATAATCTCAGCACTCTGGGAGGCTAAGGTGGGTGGATCATGAGGTCAGGAGTTCGAGACCAGCCTGGCCAATATGGTGAAAACCCATCTCTACTAAAAATACAAAAATTAGCCAGGCATGGTGGCGCGTGCCTGTAGTCCCAGCTGCTTGGGAGGCTGAGGCAGGAGAATCGCTTGAACCTGGGAGGCAGAGGCTGCACTGAGCTGAGATTATGCCACTGCACTCCAGCCTGGGTGTCAGAGTGACACTCCATCTCAAAAGAAAAAATAAAACTTTTTTTCAAATATTGCATTAAACCTTACTGGAACTGAAACCATCAGTTTCAGAATGCTATAGCTAGTTTCATTAACAGAAGTATCTTACAAATTCAAATGGCAAAAACAAACAAAATATTCACCTTCACGTTTTTTTTTTTTTTTTTTTTTTTTTTATTTAGACAGAGTCTCACTCCGTTGCCCAGGCTGCAGTGCAGTGGCGTGATCTCAGCTCACTGCAACCTCCATATCCCAGGTTCAAGCGATTCTCATGCCTCAGCCTCCCCAGTAGCTGAGATTACAGGCATGTACCACCATGCCCAACTAATTTTTGTATTTTTAGTAGAGACAGGGTTTTGCCATGTTGGGCAGGCTGGTCTCAAACTCCTGACCTCAGGTGAACTGACTGCCTCGGCTTCCCAAGGTGCTGGGACTACAGGTGTGAACCACTGCGCCTGGCCCACCTTCACTGTTAATCAAAGAAATAGTGAATATATCATTCAGATTTTTCACCAAGCAAGTTGGAAAAAGAAAATATCATCTTTAGCGCTGGTGGATATAGTAAGACAGGTTCTCATATGCTGCTGGACAGAGTATAAACTGGTCCAGCCATTCTGGAACACGATATGACATTAAATACTAAGACTCCTAAAATGTTCATACCCTTAACCCAAAAAATCTACTTCCTCAAATTTATCATATATCAAAGAGATTAAGATTTAGGTTCAAACAGGTTTCTTGCTATTTTATTTATGATGCTAAAAAGTCATGAATTTAACTGCCCCAAAATGAACAGTGGTTGAATAAATTATAAAAGCCATGTAAAAATATTACACAGCCATTTGCCATTTTTTGAAGCTATTTAATGTCATGGAAAAATTCTAAAGGTTGAATATTAAATAAACAAGGTAGGATATAAAACCATGTTGAACATCAACCCAATCCTGTACCACCACTCCCCCCAAAACCCAAAATCAAATGCAGGAATATATTTAGCTCAACATAGGCACAGAAAATGTTAATGGTATTGGTAGTATTACAGGTATAAAATCTTTATATATTTCTATTAACATGTATAATTCCAGTGTGGTAGGACTAGGAGAAAGTGAAAGAAATACCGTTTCTTTCATCTGGATTTGATTAATCTTTATCCTGAAAAGTTTGTGTCTGAAATCATCATTACAAATGAACTTGTCACCATCTTCGATATCTTTGCCCTTTGGATTTTTCGCCAGAACTCTAGCTTTGCCACAGGCTAAAGACTGCAGTGTTCTCCTTAACTCTCCATCCTCTGAAGAAGAAACAGAGGTATAGTTATATGTTACTAGCATGAACATTCTATCTCAATCGAGCTTCCACTCCATCCCCCTATTAAAACTGTTTCATTTTTTTCCCCAAGGTTGTCATCAACTTTTCTTCGTTCTATCCAATTGCTTTTTTCCTAGTCCTCTTGTTTTTTTTTTAAAAAGAGATGGAGTTTCACCACGTTGCCCAGGCTGGTCTTGAACTCCTGAGCTCAAGTGATCCACCTACCTTGGCCTCCCAAAGTGCTGGGATTACAGGTGTGTGCCACCACGCCCGGCCCCTAGTCCTCCTCTTAAAGGTGTCGATTATCATACCATGTGGGCAACTACCAAATCTTCCAAAATGACATTTCACTTCTCTCTTAAATTGCCTGCACGCTTAAGGGGCAATTCCATCTCTCTGTTTTACTACCAACTGTAGTTACATCCAAATTTCGATTCATCATCTTCTCCATAAAACTGAGTCCTCTTTCCAATTGTCAGTGGTGATACTACTAACCTTCTCAATTGGGAAACTCTGAAATCATCTTTTAACTTTTCCTTCTCCTTCATCCTCAACATAATAGCTAGCCACTGCTTCCACAGAGACATGTTTTCTCCATTCTCATGGCCTCATTCTAGTCTAAGTCCTTTCCACTTTATGTCTCAATTATCCCAATAGCATCTAAACTGGAATCCCTTCATTTTTCCAGTTGTCCTGTACATTGATTTCAGTAAGATGTACAAATAATTACTTCCACCATGCCACACAGTTGAGACACTACAATGTAAGTTTCATTTGCTAGATTTATCAGGTTCTCCACAATCAATACCTACTCATCTTACCTAATTTTGTAACTTGCTACTCTACGTTACAATTAAACTCTTCATGATTCTTATGATTCTATGCTACAATTAAGCTCTTCATGGGCCTATACTGTGCTCATTTCTACCTCCAAACCTTGTCTCAAAATATTTCCCCTTGCTGTATATGCCTTCTCCCTGACCAAAACTTGAAGGTCCAGCTCAAATCCCACTTTCTTCATAACAGCTTTCCCAATTGTGCCAGTCCACAGAGATCTCTTGCTTTGTCGAACACTTAACACACTTGTAGTCAGCATTACAAGCCAGTACTTATTGGTTTTGACATATTTCAAGTGTCATTTCCCCCTTTCCCAATGGTTATATTAAGAGTTTTGGACCAGGCATGGTGGCTCACGCCTATAATTCCAGCACTTTGGGAGGCTGAGGTGGGTGGATTACCTGAGGTCAGGAGTTCAAGACCAGCCTGGTCAACATGGCAAAACCCCGTCCCTACTAAATATATTTAAAAAATTAGCTGGGCATGGTGGTGAGGACCTATAATCTCAGCTACTTGGGAGGCTGAGGCAGAAGAATTGCTTGAACCCGGAGGCGGAGGTTGCAGTGAGCCAAGATGATGCCACTGCACTCCAGCCTGGGTGACAGAGCAAGATTCCATCTGGGTTGGAGGGGGGAGTTCTGGCTGGGTGCAGAGGCTCATGCCTGTAATTGTAAAACTTAGGAAAGCTGATGCAGGAAGATCCTTTGAGCCCAGAAGCTCGAGAACCAGGCTGAGCAATATAGTGAAACCCTGTCTCTACAAAACAATTTTAAAAATTAGCCAGGCATGGTGGCATGCACTTGTAGTCCCAGCTGCTTGGGAGGCTAAGGCAGGAGAATCACTTGAGCCTGAGCCATGATTGTACCACTGGATTCCAACCTGGGTGATAAGAGCGAGACCCTATCTCAAAAAAAAAAAAAAAAAAAAAAAAAGGCCCTCAAAAGAGTTCTGTTGCAAGGGATTACTCCTATAAATGTATCTCCCAGGCCTCTTAACATAGTGGTGTGCACAATAGTGAACACTTAAATGTTTGCTAATCAACTGATTCAACACAAACCTATTCCAGTTGCCTGCTTGATCTCTTCTAAACTGAACTCCTCTCCCTCATTAAACATTAGCAGCACCAGTGTTTGAAAAAGAGAGACCTGGAGTTCTTTTTTACCCTGTTGGAGAAATAAAGGTATTTAGCCATCACTTTTTTAAAAACACATGAAAAATTAATCAAATCATCTCTTATAGGAAAAGCATTTTTCAATTAGTGGATTCAGAAACATGATTAGCCTTATCCAGCAAAGCCAATTGAGGTGGTAATAACAGTATTTCAGTGTGGGGTTCTAGGTGTGACCCTACCTAAAATAGGGGAAGGATTACCTGACTTTTTAACAGGTCTTTTTAAAGCCTTATAATTAAAATAATGAAAATTAATCAGCCTTAAGTGTCATTCTAGATATTCATCATAAGCAGTAAGAAATCACTATTTCAAATGTAGTTTTGATTTGTTTGACTCAGATTAGTCATGAAAGCTGAAGTTTTTTGAGAGTAGATATGCGCATTGTTCCCCTTAACTCCCACTCTATTCGTAGCTCCCAGCAACAAGATTTCTGTCAAGGAGTAGCAGTGTTAGGCTGGGTATAGTCACTCATGCCTGTACTCCCAGCACTTTAGGAAGCTGAGGCAGGAGGATAGCTGGAGCCCACGAGTTTGAGGTTACAGTGAACTATGATTGTGCCACCATACTCCTGCCTGGGTGACAGAGTAGGACCCTGTCTCTAAAAATAAACAAACAAAATAGGAAGTGGCAGTGTGAAGTTTTCATCCACAGGTGAAGAAATGATAGGGGGAAGTTCAATGCATTTCGTTTTGCAGAAGGGCCAAATCAATTGTGGAAATACCACACACCTAAAATTACTTAAAAATACATAAAAGCTGTGACAAGGTATCACTGTTGTCATACAGATATCTAGGATACATTTATAAAACAATAGCTTAAACCTTCAGGTAAGAAGGATGACCTAAATATTAAAGATAAAGATGAAAACTAAAAGTTTTGGGAACATCTACTTACCTCTTTAAATTCTGCTTTTAGCACACAGTGTCCTAGGGTTGACTGCCACTGAAGTTTCCTGCCACTATGTTTGCCTAGGTAAAATGTCTTGAAAATCTCCTGAAGTTTTACCATCTAAATAAAGTAAATAAAATAAGGCTTTATTTAAGCTCTGTATCCAACACCACATTTATCACTTTTTATACTTATATCATGTGATATATTTCTAGAAAATTTTAGGACTATATCCAATAGGTCCACCAATTAATGAAAAATAATGATCTCCCAACCACCAAATCAAATGGGATTTATTAGGATTTACACCCTTTGCTCTCTTTGTACCGTTTAATCATCCCCTTTTGAAACATTCACCTGCAGCAGATTTTGTGCCTCTGCACTATGCTGGTTCCTTTATCTGACTGTTGCTTCTGCATTGGTTTCCTTCACAGGTTCCTCTTTCTACCATCTGCCAAATGTGAGCCTTTTTTAAAATTCTGCCTCTGCCATTTTTTCTTCCTCTTTGAGAGAGATCTACTCCCTGGCTTTCATAATCATCTCCATGGAGGATTCTCAATATCTATCTGTCTAGCTTTAATCCCTTTTATGGGCTTCGGTCCTGGGCTAGACAGTTTCCTAGGAGTCAGGACAGATTTAATCCAGCACCCATCATTAAGCAATCCCACCTATGGGTGAAATATGCAAAAGAATTCTTAATAGCTAGGTAGAATGAGGGATATAATCTGGAAAGATGGAAGAAGAGCCAGGGAAACTGACCCTGCATCCAGAAATTTGGCATTATCAGCTATGTGCTTAACTGGACTTAGAAGTGCAAAAGTAAAATATTAAAGCAGTTGATATTTGGTGTTGATGTGTTTACTGACACACACTTTTAAAAGTATCTATGCCAGGCCTGGTGGCTCACACCTGTAATCCCAGCACTTTAAAAGGCTTAGGCAGGGGAGATAACTTGAGCCCAGGAGTTCAAGACCAGCCTGAGCAATACAACAAGACCCTGGGTCTCTAATTTTTTCTAAATATCTACTTTTAAATGACAAGCAAAATGGAAGTGCTATGACTTCTATGCCTATGACTCAGGTTCTGAACAGTAACTCTTACCTCTGGTGGTAAATGAACTTCCATAGGCACATATGTTGGCCAATAGCCCATTGTCAGGATATTCACAGTTAACTCAATATTTCCCGGAACATTCTGATTCTGCATATACTAAAAGAAGATCAACACACACACTGAGATCTTAAAACTGTGTACATTTCCTAACCTAGTTAAGAAGTTCCCTGTTATGAAATTACATGCAAATACTGGCTATGCTTAAAATAAAAGGCAACTATTAAGAGGACTTTAAATGAAGCCTACACAAAATGCACTAGGCAAGTATAGAGGTTTACATTGATACAAAAACATACAAGGACCACATGATCTCATTATAGGCATTGTCAACTTAAATAATTTTTCACATAAAGCTGGGCTGTTATAGGATCTCTTTTCCATTATTTTCCCCAATAACACCTGCAGTCCCCACCTTTCAATACCCCTATATGGCTTAAACACCTTGCAGCAACCCCTGTTCCTCACCCCACCAGCCAGCCCAAGTCTCCAGTTTTTCGCTTGCTCCACTGCCTGTCTGCAGGGAGAGACCTGGAGTAGGGAAGGAAGAAGAGGGGAAAAGGGCAAAGCAGATAAGCCCTATTCTGTAGCTACTATAGGATCTATAATCTTACTGGCCCTGATTTTTTTCTTAATTCTTTCACTTCCACTTCCCAACTTAGCAACATTGTGGGGTACAGAAGTCACTATTAAAACCCCAAAAGAGGAAAATTTAATTTTTCATCACTATCACCTATGTTCTTCAATATTTCAAAACTACTTTCTACCTACATCTTCAAAACTGTGGATCTAGCTTTCTACTCCCAATGTCCCCAAAGACTTTATACAGCTACATTATCACTTCTCCTCTCCCCACTGCAAGCTCTGAACATGCAAATCACCAAATGGTAAGATGCTGGGGAAAGCCCTGTTCCCACTATCTACCTATAGCTCTTCTTGTACTGACCTCAGTTCAACTCATTTTATTTTTATTTTTGTGTTATTCTGGGTGTTTGTTAAAAATAAATCCTAAAGTAGGTCAAATATACTTGTATTTCATCGATTTTTTTCTACTGTGAATATCACCTCAGTTGCCATGAAGTAATTACAACAAACATGTTTCTATTTATCCTCTTCTGTAGAAATCACAGTGAGCAGATAACTAAATATAACTAAGTTTGAGGAATTAAGTAAGAGTTTAACTCACTTTTACCTGTTTGAACTGAATCATGATGTCTTTAGAAAGTTCCATGTCTTTAAACATTCCTTCAAGTTTGCTGGTGAAAGCAGCTCCGCATTCTATTAAAGGTGTTTGTACATGTATAATATTTTAAAGTGGTAAAAAAAAAAAAAGAGGTTTAAAATGGGAAACATGAAATACAAAACTTATTTTAGTATGAAGTATGATCTGTAACTATTCATAAGAATAAAAAGAAATCCTTACCCCAAAGTGTATGCCCCATTAATTCAGAGTCAAACTCTTTAATCCTGTAGTAACCTTATCTACTATTTAAATATAAAATAAATGGGAAATTTTTATACAAGTAATAAAACCAAGAACAAGGTTTTATCCTCAAAAACACAACAGCTCTGGATATATGTACAGTAAGTTGGAAACCTCAGGAGCTTGCTTAATTTATGTTTTCATCATATATACATAGATATGAATGACAAAAGAGGAAACTGAAAGAGTAAAAAGATAACATTCTCCTTCAAAAATCAAAGAAAAGGAATGGGAAGAATGAGAAACCTACCATGTTTAAGTTTGGACAGCATTGATTTTTCAGCATCTACAGATGCACTCTTCCCAACCAACAGGCGCTTGGCTAAATCTTTCTTATAGAAGGCCTCAAAAACATCCTTGCCTATGTAAAAAACATGCAAAACTTATAATATCCCAATAAAAAGTTCTGACAAAACTGCTTCAAAGTGCTAATAAATCACACCATTATTCCGTTATTTTACTTTACACATTTTATCTAAGTTTGTTAAATGTAAGCAACAATAGAGATTCATTTTTGTGCCAGACATTTCAAAGTTTTTATTGTAAAACTTTTTTGCATTTAATTGTCTTTATTGCATTAACTTTTCTTCAGAAAAGATTTTGTGGACTGGTAGCTTTGGTGCAAATATTGGAGAGATTAAAGTAGCAAAAACTAAGGCACTTCATACTAGAAGAGTCAAAGCATAGGATGATTAGGTAACATTCCTCAAGTACACCCCCAATGAATTAAAAACAATTTTAAATCTGTAATTCCTAAATAAATATTCCCTCCAGGTTGAATATACTTGCTAGCTTCTTTGTTGAGTACTATTTTAAAAGAAAAATATTAAAACATCAGTAAATACTTACCATAGATAAATCTAAATATGATCATAATTTTATCCAACATTTTCTCAAGTTCTTCATCTGTAGCTTCTTTGTTGCCTGCACGAAGCTTTGAATCTACATACTTAGCTAAAATGGGGAAGAAGTTTGTTGTTTAATAACCAGGGGAATACATGAAATACTGGGCACTATACCCAAAGAAGAGTATGATACACTGAGTTTTTCAGTACTTCGGAAATTTATATGCGCTTTTTAAAGTCTCCAAAGTGAGGGAGATCAAATGACTTGTTCAATGCCATACAGCTAATATCAGGGCCTGAACGCAAACCCAAGTGTGCTGACTCCAGATCAAATGTACTTTCCACTATTCTGATGTTTATGGATATCCTGTAGGGGAGGCTTCATGTAGCCCTATGAAGGCATAATCAAAGCCACTGAAAGACATGGGACATCTTCTGAAGTGTCTATTTTACAGGGATAATAAGCAATCTTAAACATTACTTTTCTATTAAAATAAACCAGTCACATCACAGAGTAGAAGGTTAAAATTTGCTACATGTTTAAGGATAAATAATAGATAGGCTGCAACAAAATTTCATCCTTTTGGCAGAGGACCCTAGACCTTCTCAGGTTACCTCCTCCTCTGACACTAAGGGTACTTGGATGGAAAAACTTGAGAAGCACTGTAGTATATACGACATCCTTACATTAAATGGACCCAGATTATTAGGTTTATTTTTGCCCTGGACTTTTTCCTTTTTCACTGACAACTATAATTTCATGCTGCCCTTTCTTACAGTTTGAAATAATACCCTGCCGCATGTCTAAATCCCTTTAGGCTTGGAAAACAGATAAGCTTATTATCAATAAAGGTAAATAGGGCCCAACATACTGTCTTACAAAGAAGCACATTATGTTTGACATGTAGACCTTCATTCAGTATTTACATCTACATTTTTAGAAACACTTTTCAAACTTACTATACCTGCTAAGCAACCTCAAACAAATGAGGAATTAGTAATACTACAACTTGTAAAAATTTCAGACTGATTAAGATTTATGACTCAAAGAACATCATTAAACAACTTGAAAAAGGACTGGAAAACATACCTATAAGTTCAGCCGGTTTATTTGGTCTTTTGTTAATAAATGTTTCGAATGCTTCTTTCATGGCATTGATAAATTTCTCATTCTTCAGAAAGCAGATATCAATTATATGGTCAACCTTATCTTTAAAATCCAGCAATTCTTGAACCATGGTTTTATCTTTTTCAGGATTAATTACAATAGTGCTGCCAAATGCCTAAAACAAAAAATTCCCACTTTTTACTGAATTGTCTACAATGAAATTGTAAATGAATTATCTACAATGAAAACAATCCCAGAATCATATTTTAAGTGGCATATATATTTAAAGATCTTAAAAAAGTAAAATAAAGCTATTTTTAAGATGGAATCTTGCTATGCTGCGAAGACTAGTCTCAAACTCCTGGACTCAAAGGATCCTCCTGCCTCAGCCTCCCAAGTAGCTGGGGTTACAGGCATGCACCACTGCACCTGGCAAAATAAAGCTGTTTGTGAAATGAGGAAAAAAATATAAAGTGCTAAAATATCCAGACTGATAACCACTCATCTATAATCACAAAATAATAAGGAATGATCACAGGGCATATGATATCATAACAGGGTACTATTAAAAGCCTCTGGGATCTTTTCCTTATTTTTAAAGAAGTCAGCTTTCAAATTCCTTAAAATGGCAATCTGGCTTTCGTGTAAGATTGAAAAAAGAAAAGAAATTTGGGTTCAAAGTCTTCTTTCTTTTCTACACTCACTGCTTTAAGTGCTAGAGACAGAAATCACGTCAAACATCAATCAGGTTTTATAGCTGATATGCCACACAGCTACCATTCTCAGGTTAACTGTTCTCAAAATTCCTATTACTTTTCAAAACAAATTTAAAATTCCCTTAAAAAAATGGATCAAGGCCAGGTGCGGTGGCTCACGCCTGTAATCCCAGCTCTTTGGGAGGCCGAGGTGGGTGGATCACTTGAGGTCAGGAGTTCTAGACCAGCCTGAGTGACATAGTGAAACCCTGTCTCTACTAAAAATACAAAACTAGCCAGGAATGGTGGTGTATGCCTGTAATTCCAGCTACTTGGGAGGCCGAGGCAAGAGAATTGCTTGAACCCAGGAGGCGGAGGTTGCAGTGAGCCAAGATTGCGTCACTGCACTTGAGCCTGGGTGACAAGAATGAAACTTGGTTTCTAAAAAAAAAAAAAAAGAAAAAAATTGGATCGAACAAGAAATGCTTGCCAATATGCATTCTTGATGTGTAGATAAGCCATAAGAGAGAAAAATCACAGGTAAATTGTTAATACCTTGATGTATTCAATCCACTGCTGCAAAAGAACCTGAACTCCACCTCGAACTCTACTGAAGAGCTGATACAGGAGGGACAAATCTTGAATTCGGTTTTCATCAAGGAGATTATTTAAACCTGTATTTTAAAACATTTTGGCATTAAAATATAGTGAATAAGATGATCAGACATTTTAATCAAATCTGAGTTATAATCATTATTGTGATACTGGTTTGAACTACGCCTAGTCTGTATGTGAGTTGTAATGTAAGATTTTCCTTTGACTTAAACCCAAACATCTCTCTGGGTGAAAACAAAATATGGCGACTTTAGTCACTATAAAAATAAAAATAGGCCAGGCACAGTGGCTCACACCTGTAATCCCAGCACTTTGAAAGGCCAAGGCAGGAGGATCAATTGAGCCCAGGAGGTTGAGACCAGCCTGGGCAAAATAGTAAGACCTCATTCCCATTTTAATTTAAAAAGTTAAAATAAAAATAAAAATGGTTAACTGCATAATGGTTTGTACCATTTAGAATGATAGATTAGAGACATAAACAAGTTTATAAAAACTGGTTCACATAAATATACATTATAAATACCTCATATATATATTAGCCATATTATGTACATAGCTACATTTCAGAATATTGGAAACGGCCTGTGATATGTCAAAAGCCATGCATAAATAGGTCAAATTTAAATGAGGCTCTAATAAACATTTGATTTTCAGGATGAAATAACAGTATAACTGCATTAAATTTCTAAATACATAAATTTTTAAACAAAAGAAAATATTGTTGGAGAGAAAGGTAATGCCTATTTGTGGCATTCTCAAAGTAAAATGCAGGGTATACTCTAAGATCATTTGGGATTAGAAGTGCTTGGTTTTACATGCCATGAACAACAACAGAAAACGCTCACCACTTTAGTATAAGATAGAATACCTTTCCTTACTGAAAGCTTACAAATTAAGTCAAGAATTTCCCACTTTTTGTCTTTTCTTTTGTTTAAAGAGATGAGAGTCTCACTATGTTGCCCAGGCTGACCTTGAATTCCTGGGCTGAAGCAATCCTCCTGCCTCAGCCACTCAAATAGCTGATACTACAGGCACATATCAACCACTGTTTCTTTATTGGTATTGGTGGATCCCTTTCTTCTAGTTCCTGTATCTTTCAGATAAGAAAATTGGCACCTCCAGGAAGTTTACTGTGATTAATAAGGATTATGTACATCCTCAGAAATGCAGCCACAGACTATCAAACTTTTAAAAGGGCAACATCTTCAAAAATTCCCTACTAGTTTGCCACTACCATTTAAAAAGTAATATCTTATTTACAAATTGCCAATTACCTTTCTGAAGAATTGCTGTTAAGTGTTCACCTAGGAGTTGTTTTTCTACAGTAGCAATTAATGACTTCCTGGGAGAAAAAAAAAAAAGTTTAATATTATTGACGTTTGACTTCCAGAAAATGTTAAGCCTCTCCTGAGGAAAAAAAAAAAAAATCAAATAGCTCATTTTGTGTTAATTTCAAGATTCCTATCCTATGTATACATTTATTGGCGCTTAGAGTTACTATACCTTATACCTAAAAGAAGGAAACACAAAGGAATTGATGGGAAACATTTTTTAAAATGCCTATTTTAGAATTCAGTCTACGTCATGAAATAAATATCTCCATGATCTTGCTGTAGTTGGCTTTTTCCAAGTTTTGTTACTTTTATCAGGAAGGTAAAGACATACTATTTACAGAAGCCCCTCGACTGACAATACTTAGGAAAGCACAGAAATAGGGGAATCCACTGAATTTTAACTGGCCTGAAGAGTTTAATGATCACATCAATCTCTAACATTATTTCTAAATTACATTCTAAACACACACACACACACACCCCCCCCAATAATTGAATCCTTGATGAAAACTAATTAACTAGGGAAAGAATAACTTGAAGCTTGCATTATGAAAACAACTGTTAACATTTCAAATCACAACTGAAAACAGTTAATTGTTAGGATGCCTAAAGTGCTACAAGTGATTTAACGACAGTTTAAGACTATTACATTAAGCATGCAATACTTACTGGGTGGTCTGATCTAAGTAAGTAATAAGTCTGTCTGCTTCTTCTTCTAGACGTTTGTTAACGTGATGAAGATATTCAGGAACCTACAAAGATAGTTTTTTATATTATTGTTTTCCTCCCCATAAATCACTCAGAAAATGTCAAGTCCAAAAGATCCTGGGAGCAGCCCTGCCAAATGTGACAGGGTAGAATCATATGTAAAATTATAGGTAGAGTTTATGATCCAGAATTCTGGCCTTTAAGAAGAGAGAAAAGAAAGGAGCACCTAAGTGAGAGAAGAGCATCACAATGTTGGGAAGATAAATGCAAAGGGAAGTTTATATTCTACAAAGAAAGGTCTATTGTGAGAGACAGTGAATTTATTAGTCATGATTTTTAAATACCTCTCTTTCTTGCATTAATTTTTGGCCTTCAGCTGCATAGAGCCGGTTAGTTTCTTCCAAAAATCGTTGTTCAAAAGAATCTTGATAAATCTGGGAGGGAGAACAAAATGAAGGATATGATTTACTTAGTAAATATTTACTAAATGTCCTCTATGTCTATATAAACAGCATTATGGATTTGGTTTTTAAACATCAAACTAGGATCCTTTCGTAGTTTAGAAGCATGCTGATTGGGGTTTTATGCTCATGTATGAGATGTGCTTCCCTCAAACCTTGTTATGACATCAGCACATTACCTGTCTGATGTGGGGGAAAATAACTAGGAATAGCAATCAACTCTGTATAATATGTGCAGTGGTTAACTTACTTGCAAATCAGATAGCATGCTTAAAAGGCTTCGGAGTAAACTTCTATCAATTGCTTCACCATTCCTTTCCCTCTCAATCAAGAGAAGGATGCCATCAATTGTCTTATTCTGGACTTTCTGATCACTTATAATATGAGCCCTAAATAACTCCAGTCCCATGTCCCTAAAATAAAAAACACATATAATCTAAATTACTTCACAATACCGCTTCTGAAGAGGTTTGCTTAACTTCTTACCACATGTTCCCATGTTAATTATAGCCCCAGGCTTTGAAGCAGCAATTGTAAAAGAATAAAATCCACACATTTAATTTTGAATAACATTATTAGATTAAAGCATACAGGAAACTCATTTTGTGTTTAATGAGAAGTGAAGCTAAATTCCTATTTTCCTCCATAACTAAGTTTTGTTGTATTACTTCTTTTTGTGGATTTCTTTCTTGCTCAAATCAAGAGACAAAATTATTTCGAAGACATAAAACAGTTTTCACTGTACTGGCATTGAAAGCTTATTTGGTTATTTATTAATTGGTTTCAATACTCAAGAAGCAGGGAATTCTGTCATTGCTGTAAGCAGATGATAGGTACATGATAGGGGGAAGAGTTCATGATACTATTCTATTTTCATGTATAAATGGACTTTTCCATAATGTTAAATGAGTGAACTCTTGATGATCAGCAGCAAACTGAATCACACTCATAGACATTCCAGAGCAAACTTTAGTCCCCTTGATTAACAAAAAACTTCTTCAAAAATTAATATATGCCCAGGGAATGTTAGCTATCTTCAATATTGGCAAAGACAATATATTATTAGGAAGATAAAACTGCTACAAAGGAAAGTCTAGAAGCCAAATGTGAATTTTTAGAATATTCACAGTATTGCTTATACTCTTTCATTAGCGTAATTAAGATCTGAGTATGATTTGGAACAATCTTTTCACGTTTTACTGGTATCCTTACCAAATGGAGGGTAGCATTGAATTCTGAAGAACGTAAGTTCTATCCAGAAACAAAAAAATGCTCCTGATCATGATCTGCCAATGGAAAAAAAAAAAAGAAATCAAACAATTTTTATATGTTGTGAAGCTGAAATATTTGCTTTCAGTAAGAATAAAACTGAAGGGTTCGTCTGTATATATATTAGATTACTAGGATCTAATGTGCAGATAAACACACCTATCTGAGAATATGCCCATATCATTTTTATTATTCGACTGTCTTAATCCTTGTTGTGTTTTCGAGAAAGGAAGGCACTTACAATGACCCTCCCCCCTCTGACTTATTACCTGAGAAGTAATTGAAAAATAACAGGGAATCAAGGGGACACTCACATAATTCTTCCTTAGCCACAGTGCTAGGCAATGAAGCTGCCTTACATTACAACATGTGAGGTTTTTAGTTTTTGGTTGGGGGTTGGGGGGATGGATTTTAAGATTTTGATCTGTAGACAAAATGTAGCTTTTTAATGAGATAAATACATTTTTGGTAAGTGTGACAAAAATAAAAATGAACCTAAGGTGCGAGTCATTCTGAAATGCAAGTTTACCTGTAACCTGTGGTTTTAAAATAGAAAACTCAACCAAAACTAGTTTCCAATATAGAAAAGGAACAGATATTGAAGCAATCTCCCTATTGCTAAGTTTTAAAAATTAACATTCCTGCATTTGAAGAAATGTTTTTAACTATTAATACAGTGTTTAGCTGAAACATAATACCTTTTCCAGCTTACCATTTGTCTGCAATGGTTTTGCCAGCATCTATCAATCTTCTTTAGAAAAAGAACACTATCCAATGAATCCCTGAAACATATGTTAAGGATATTTTAAAGCATTTAGTACACATAATATGTGCCATGTGACAGACAGCACATTAGTCTTAAATATGAATACCTTGTATACTAAATGAAACCAAATGGCACTTTATTATGGACCAAAGTGCTATTTCTTTATTTGTAAAAGAAAAAAAAAGTGGATTATATTAAAAAACACCTTTAAAAGCAAGTCTTAGACATAATTGAACCTCATGTTTTCAGTTTATGATTTCCCTTAGATTATTTTTCCTCAAGTAGAAATCTATTAAGGCAAAAAGGGTAAAGACATAAGGACATCATATTTACATGAATACCACATGTAGTTCTGGACACGAATTAAGGCTGAAAAGTCAACATGTATTTCTTCTTTCTCAAAAAACACTAGGCACAAAAAAATATCAAACCTACAAAACACAGGCATTCTACTTCAACCTGGGTTAAATAGTGAGGGGTAGGGACGGAGAGGAAGACAAAACTACTTAAGATTTTTTGTTTTAAAAAGGATATTCTCTGAATTGATGAATCTGTGCTTTGATGTGATCTTCACAGATCTGTCTCAGCTGTTTGTACAAGTTTGCAGAAATCTTGTAAGAACAGAGATTTTCTACAGCCTGCAAGTTAAACACATACTTTCTTGAGGAGAGGATGAAGGATTTCTCAACTATTTACATTGGATTCTTATTAATTTGATATTTCTATCACATCAGCTTATTAAAAAGGGTTATTCATCCATTTAAGACACAAGGTAAAACAAAATATATCAATGTGAGTGGCAAACTTTTTCATAACCAATATACTGTATCAAAAAACAACAAATTACAGGTTGAATATCTCTAATCCAAAAATCTGAAATCCAAAATGCTCAAAAATCTGAAACTTTTTGAATGTCAACATGATGCTCAAAGAAAATGCTACTTGGGCTTTGTGCAGTGGCTCATGCCTGTAATCCTAACACTTTGGGAGGCCAGGGTGAGAGGACTGCTTGGCTAGGAGTTCAAGAACAGCCTAGGCAACTGTGATGGTTAATATTGAAGGATACAAGGTACTGATCCTGGGTGTGTCTGTGTGGGTGTTGCCAAAACAGATTAACATTTGAGTCAGTGGGCTGGGGAAGGCAGATCCACCCTTAACCTGGTGGGTACAATCTAATCAGCTTCCAGTGAATATAAAGCAGGCAGAAAAACGTGAAAAGGAGAGAGGCGTAACCTCCCAGCCTACATCTTTCTCCTGTGCTGGATGCTTCCTGCCCTCAAACGTTGGACTGCAAGTTCTTCAGTTTTGGGACTCAGACTGGCTCTCTTCAGCTTGCAGACAGCCTTTTGTACGACCTTGTGATAGTGTAAATTAATGCTTAATAAACTCCCCTTTATATATACATCTCCTACTAGTTCTGTAGTTCTGTCTTTCTAAGAGAAGCTAATATAGCAAGAAAGCAAGACCCCATCTCTACAAAAAAATTAAAAATCAGTTGGGAATAGTGTTGTGCACCTGTAGTCCCAGCTATTCAGGAGGCTGAGGCAGGAGGATCACTTGAGCCCAGGAGTTTAAGGTTAGAATGAACCATGATTACGCCACTGCACCTTGTCTCAAAAATAAAAAAGCCGTCTTGTTTCAAATGCTAATCATTTTCACAAGCAGAGCTTCATTTTGGGTTTAAAAAAGAATTTCACCAATTGTTTATGTACCAAATGGGTCAGGCAGTCCTACTACAACTGAATTAAGATTTACTTAAACTTTCTTGGGTTTTCCTGAACAGAACAAAGCAGACATTACTGCTAACAGTATGATAATGAGTATAATACCAAGAAATTTTCACCAACATTTCAGTTTAAGAATAGTTAAATATAGATTTTAAAATTTGTGCCCAGGCATGGTGGCTCATGCCTGTAATCCCAGCACTTGGGAGGCAAAGGTGGGCAGATCACAAGGTCACGAGTTCAAGACCAGCCTGACCATGGTGAAACCCCGACTCTACTAAAAATACAAAACTTAGCCGGGTGTGGTGGTGCATGCCTGTAATCCCAGCTACTCAGGAGGCTGAGTCAGGAGAATCGCTTGAACCCAGGAGGTGGAGGTTGCAGTGAGCCGAGATCACACCACTGCACTCCAGCCTGGGTGACAGAGAGAGACTCCGTCTCAAAAAAATAAATAACATTTGTACAACTGAATTGACACCAATTACAAAAGAAATGACTGCATTTTTACTTCATTCTAATAACTGAATTGGTCTTCTTTTATACTCAGATTCCAGAGGATGACCTTCAGATTTCAGTAAGTTTCTTGTTATGTATATATCAAAGACTTTCAACTTTAAAACAACAGGCATGGGAAGAAAACTCTGATATAATCTACAATTCTAAGTGGTAATAACTTAAATATAATACCAGGATTCCTTTCTAACCACAACAGAAGAAAAAAATTCCATTAAAATGGACTCTGGCTGGGGCATCCAAGTTCTGTGGGTTAGAGTGGAATTTTATAAATATGTAGTTAGAAGTCACATTCCCAATATGCAGGTCCAGTAAATAAATTAGGAAATGAAAAGAACGCTTGGCCTGGCGCGGTGGCTCACACCTGTAATTCCAACACTTTGGGAGGCAGAGGAGGGCAAACACGAGGTCAGGAGTTTGAGACCAGTCTGGTCAACATAGTCAAACCCCACTTCTACTAAAAATACAAAAATTAGCCGAGTGTGGTGGTGTGCACCTGTAACCCCAGCTACTCGGGAGGCTGAGGCAAGAGAATCGTGTGAACCTGGGAGCCAGAAGTTGCAGTGAGCCGAGATCATGCCATTACATCCCAGCCCGGCAAGAGTGCAAAACGCCATCTCAAAAAACATCAAGAAAAGAAAGCTTAAAGGAAACCTCTTACACCACAAGAGAGAAGTCACCGCGCCTCATCAGGAAACAGTAGGCGAATTAGATTGAGCAGCTATGGAGGAATAAGGCTGAGACTCTGCTGGCCTGCCCACTTCTCATGTGACCTGGGGCTAGGTCACAAATGCCTAAGGGAATTTACCTTTATTTCATGTGCCTTTCTGTTCACACAGGTCCTCTGTGCACTGGCCCTCTTCCTCCTTTAGTATTCCTCTCATTGTATCTCACCATTCCTTTTGAATGACTCACATTTATATCTCTGGTTAGATTCTGTCACATGACTTAGTGCGTACTTCATCTTTCCACATTTCCCATTTCCAGTACTTTCCTAAGTCCTATTTATCCCATTTCCTTCTGCTATGTTCCCTTCTCACATAAAACAGTTCTCGACACATTTACTTATCTTCTCACACAAGATACCATATTCTCTTACTAATCAATTACATCCCACTCCTTCCACTAAGTTCCTAATTGCCTCAGCTACCAGTGACTCACATGGCACTTGCACCCATCTTAACACACTGACATGTCATTGAGTCAATACTATTTATCTCCCCCCAACCACTGGATACTTCTTGCACAACACTGAACAAGGAATGACTGTGTACTAAGTACTCTTCATCCTATTACATGCTGCGATGGAAACAGGAATAAGAAAGTATTTGAGATAAGCTCTATTTTACTCTAGATCTTTGAAAGTACTTTTAAAAATATATTATTTACTATTTGTAATAAACAGATTCTAGATAACTTTACAAGTCTTTTTTTTTTAAGACCTGATTCTTGCTCTGTCACCCAGGCTGGAGTGCAATGGTGCGATCTCAGCTCACTGCAACCTCTGCCTCCTAAGTTCAAGCAATTCTTGTGCCTCAACCTCCCCAGTAGCTGGGATTACAGGCGTGCACCACCTGGCTAAATTTTGTATTTTTGGTAGTGATGGGGTTTCCCCATGTTGGTCAGGCTGGTCTTGAACTCCCGACCTCAGGTGATCCGCCCGTCTTGACTCCCAAAGTGCTTGGATTACAGGCATGAGCCACCATGCCTGGCCCAAAAACCCCACCTTTTAAAAAAATAAAATAAAATAAACAGCAACAATTGTATTGATTAAAGATTCAGTAAAAAGAGAAATACATAATAGACTAAGCTTTAAGACATCTATAGGGTGACAAAAGTTACACAGAATCCAACAGCTAGTCATCAACACTGCTAAGAATCTAACTGCTTTCTTATAACCACTGACTGCTTAAGCAACCAGACTTTACAATGGATAATAACCTATTCTATTTGCTTCCAGTCCTGCAGTCATCTACTCTATAAATGAGTCATTAATAGAAAGGTTCATTATTTACAGTTTATTTCACAAAAAGATAACCAGAGTTCCCATTATTAATAATAAATAAAATCATTTTCATCAAAATTGAAGCATGGACTAGGCTTGACTTTAAAAACAGCTAGAGATTTATAGTAAAGATAAATGTTACACTCTCCTGTACAAACTTCCAGCATCTCCAAAAAAGGTAGCTGATCTTAAAATACTGTACTAGGCTGGGCATGATGGCTCATGCCTGTAAGCCTGGCACTTTGAGAGGCCAAGGTGGGGATGACTGCTTGAGGCTAGGAGTTCGAGAACAGCCTGGGCAACATAATAAGACCGCCCCCCCATATCTCTATTTAAAAATAAATAAAACACTGCAGCATGAGCTCAGAATAGGATTATGAAAATAATCCTATTTAAAATATTACTTAATAGTAAAAAAAAAACTCACACCAAAACCAAAATTTCAACTTTAAGATACCACATGTGAAAACAGGACACATTCTTTATAAGCATAGAGGGATACTGTTCCTAGAGATTTTCTTTTTCTATTATTTTTTCAATTTCACTAATGGTGTCTGCTGAAGCACAATTGGAATGTAATCTACTTATCAGCCAGTTGTTCTGGCCCGGTGTAGATTTAGAATTTAAAAATGTGTGGCTTCAAATCTCTAAAATAAAATGTAATTTTTAAATAAAGACTTATTTTCTAAAGACTCAAACTATGATTGATGACACATACCAATATATAGCAAGGACTGCGATAATTACTTTTTTTTGCAATATTTCATTTACGTCTAAAAAAACCTTGCCATATAGGTAGTAGTTAGTCTCACCATCTTGTAAATGAGGAAACCAAGACTTAGAGAAGTAAGTTGTCAGAAGTCATATGATGAGTCACAGATCTGTAACCTAAGGCAGGCTGAACAACTCAAAAGTCACTGCATTTAATCAGTCTTGTTTGTAGTCAGTCAAAAACAAGCAAGCAAGCAAACAGAAAAGTCAAATGAAAACATTAATCATTGCCTCACACCCACAGGATATCAAGGTTGCCAAGGAAAAATAATTTTAAAACTCAGGTCAAATTCTCATTTAAAATTACTTTAAAAAGACAATGTTTGCTTACTGCAAGTATACTAAGAACAGCATGTTCTTTTATAGAAATTAAAAACTTAGTAGGCAGTACATGCAACACTAGGGACTTCCATACTTAAAGCTTTAAAGCAAAATGTTTTTTCATGCAGAAGTAAGTTCTGAGTAGATATATGCCAGTAAGTGTTTACTTCAGAGAAAAAGGGTGGGACAGGGGTTTGGAGAACTTCTGTATAACTATATATTTCCATATTATTCCAATTTCAGCAGAGTACTTTTTCTTCTTTTCTAATTTCCCACTCAGGTAGATTGAGAGAGTACTCTAATTACAGTCTGAGTCAAAATCAAACAAGCACCTGAAGTCTAGATTATATGAAATAGCTTCACCTCCTTTATTCTCCTTTTTGAACTTGAACAGCTCAAAATAATCTTTCTGAGAACAATCCAAAGGAGCATTTATAAAATTAAGGTCAAAAACTAAAAGAACTAAAAACCAATGCTTTTTAATTCATTATGGCAAAAGCAGTAAGGTATTAAGAAAAATGCAAATAGTGAAGTTATAAGACTTGTGACTAGGTTAAAGAAATGCAACTGAACAACAGCAGGTAAAATTTACAAAGTACAAGAAAACAAAAACAAAAGATGCAAGCTCTATGCTCTTGAAATAAAAAAATTTAACAGCATCAATATATCAGGAAAAATATTTCAAATCAAAAATATTCAAGGTAAAGTAAGTAGGGTTCATTAACAACTACAATAAACATTTGTTATCAATATGGACTATATAAAATAACACATTGAAATTAAATATGCTGTATACCAGCATACCCAAATAAACACCACTTATATACATGCACAGATAAAAACACTTTCAATGATAAAGAGCTTTTTTCCTAAAGTAAAACAATTTAATTGCTTCAAACACTGTACTATAGTGGTATTCAAAGTACCAGGGTGTATTAGTGAGCTGGTATAGCAGTAAAAGCACATTGAACTAGAAATCCAGCATCTCAGGTTGAGTTGCCCCTGCTCTGCCAATACGTGACTCTGTGCAGGTCATTCAACTTCTCTGAGATTCAGTCTCCTCATCAATAAAGTGGGGATAGGCCAGGCGTGGTGGCTTACACCTGTAATCCCAGCACTGTGAAAGGTGAAGGTGGGTGAATCACTTGAGGTCAGGAGTTTGAGACCAGCCTGGCCAACAGGTTAAATGCTGTCCTTACTAAAAATATAAAAATTAGCAGGGCATGGTGGCAGGCGCCTGTAAGCCCACCGACTCGGGAAGCTGAGGCAAGAGGATCACTTGAGCCCGGGCAGCAGAGGTTGCAGTGACCTGAGATTGCGCCATTGCACTCCAGCCTGAGCGACAGAGAACACCTCCAACAAAAAAAAAAAAAAAAAAAAAAAAAAAAAGTGGGGATAATAACTATTACCCTACGTACTTCAGAAAGGGTTTCTGAAATGCTTATATGAGATACTGTAAGATAAATCCCCTTTGCAGGCTGTCACACACACCACAAAAAAAAAATATTGGACCATATGCTCTCTTCAGGCCTTTCCAAGTCTGGTTTCATATTTTGACTTTTATCATTGTACATCTTAGAAGCCACATATATACTATGCCAAAGGAGCAAAATGAAATGGGCTTATTCTTAACAGCTTAGTACTACAACTACTAGCTGACGTTTACACAGCATTATAATGCTTATAATATTACATGGCATTATTACTATGTGTTGCTGACTAATTTTCACAGCAACAGAAACTGGTGATCTCAATTGATATACAACAAGTGAAGAAGCTATACTGTGGCTTGTGAAAAAGTCTGACTAGTGATATCATCTTATATTTGTAAGATTATAGTGCCTGGAGATGTTTTCCACAAATATCTTATTTGATGCTTATAAGCAACCTTGTAAGATAGGTAGGGCAAATATTATTTCCTCTACTTTAGACAGGAGGAAATTTAAACTGAGAAGGGTGGCTGGGTGTGTTGGCTCATGCCTGTAATCTCAGTACCTTGGGAGGTTGAGGCAAGAAGACTGCTGTAGCCCAGGAGTTCAGGACCAGCCTGGGCAACATAGCAAGACCCCCATCTCTTAGAAAAACAGGAAAAAAACTGAGAGGGGTTTAGTACCTTGCCCAAGATTATGAGGGTAACAGCAGTCAAAACTAGATTCCAAACCTATCTTCTGACTCCTAATCCAGGATTTGCCCATCACCATACTAGCTCTGCAACTAAAATAAACAAATGCTGATAAACCGAACCAACATCATTTCTTATAAGGTGCTTATCAATACAAAAATTCAAGCTATTGTACTCTGAAGTATCTTTTAACACCAAATCCCTGACACTCTAATGGAAAGTAATTTCTTTATTTTTTAATTTTATTTATTTATTTATTTTTTTAGGGCCAACAGCCTTCCGAGCAGAGAGCCTCAGGGGCTGACAGCATTTGGGGCTGAAGGCCGGAAAGCAACTTCTTGAATTGGTTGTGTGTCAAATACACATTAGGGAAAAAATTATTGGTAGCAAGAGACTGCCCTTAGTAACTGCCCTTACCATTATATTTAAGTTAAACATTTCAGTAAGGACCCATTTGCTAAGCAAAGAATCTGAACCTCAGGCTGAACTGCTGGACTACAAACTGCTGCTCATTTCTGGGCTAACGTGTGTCTTGTAGCCCAGGATATAAGAAAAACATAAAAAGCAAGAAAAAAGAAATGTCTACTATTAAGACGGTAGAATAAATGATATGAATAATATCTGCATGTCTTGAGGCCTTTCCTAAGAAAGAATCATCGGCCTGGTGCAGTGGCTCACTCCTGTAATCCCAGCACTTTGGGAGGCCAAGGCAGGCAGATCATGAGGTCAGGAGATTGAGACCATTCTGGCTAACATGATGAAACCCCGTCTCTAATTAAAAATACAAAAAAAAAAAAAAAAAAAAATTAGCCAGGTGTGGTGGCACGCATCTGCAATCCCAGCTACTCGGGAGAGTGAAGCAGGAGAATCACTTGAACCCAGGAGGTGGAGGTTGCAGTGAGCAGAGATCATGCCATTGCACTCTAGCCTGGGCCACAGTGAGAGACTCCACCTCAAAAAAAAAAAAAATTATCACACTAGAATGACATGTCACTAGAAATCATCTTTCGGATCCATGCTATAGGATTTCATTATAGGTAGAATTTCTATTATACCAAGGTACACCTAAATGTAATTCCTAATCAGAACGGTCAAAGATAAGCACAACTTATACCTGTATTACTGTACCCATAGTTTCTGTGAGAATACGTGGTCTAATAATAGAGTTCACCAAATAATGGAGAAACTAAAATTAGAAGGGAACCAAAAGTCTACTTAAGAACCTATTTTGGAAAGCAAAATCCACATACATCCCACCTCAATTTATGATAATCAAATCTGGTTATCCATATTAATACATACCTGGTAGAGTTCTTCTAAATTATACTTAATTGAAGTACTATTCTGAATAGCTTCCACTGCTTCTTTCAGTTTTTGCCAGGTTTCATCTGTGTAGTTTTCTGGTAACTTAGGCTTATCTAGATGATATGTAAAAGGTTGGTATCAGAATACTATGTCAGATATAGTAACCAAAGGTCCATAAAATACAATAGTATTACTATTTTTAGGGTAAATTGTGATCTATATAACTATTACACCTAATCATTAAAGTAACCACTGTATTTAAGCTTAATATAAAGAATAAAATTTGAAATGCCATAATACTGTTTAAGTCATTTTGACTCACCTATTAAAACTGAAGGTGAGGTTTTTCTCCTATTGATTGTATTGCTTCAAAAAAATAAAAATTCAAGAATGACCATAAAAAACAACAATCCTGATCTTATTTCATCATGTGTAAAACCTAAGTCGACATGAATTTTTAACCTGAGATTTAAAATTATGTCTATGTGCAAAGTATTTTATAAACCTCTTAATCTTCCCAACAATACCCTGAGGAATCTATTTTACAACCGAGGAAACTGAGGCTGGAACTAATTTAGTAAGCTTGTCCAAGGTCATCATAGCTAGTCAATGGCAAAGCTGGGATTCTAATTCATGTCTGTTTGACCCCCAAATTTATGCAACATCTACAGAAATATATACATCTTAGCATTTATGATCAGAGTGAAATTTTTAAAGATTGAAACATCCAAATAACTCAAGAAAATAGCTGCATTTTCAGAATAGAAAGAAACATCTTACTGTAGGCTTTAAACTTCATTGACTAGCAATGAGCAGGGGAAGAAAAGTTTAAGCGGACCAGCCAAATGCCTTAATAATGTGCCTTTATTTTAGGAGGGAAAGAAAAAAAAATCTCTGAAACAAATCTGCAAATGCAATCAGGATCATTACTCATTTCTTTAAAAACCTTTGGCTATTAAATCCATATATTTTTAAGTGAAATAATGAACATGTTAGTCAATTACAATTCATATCGACTTCAGAAAGCTCTACGATTAAATCAGAAACTGAGAGCCTGAGTATGGGAAGGTAGCGATATAAAAAAGAAAGGGTTAAAAATAGACAACACCATAGCCATCTGCTTGAGACAAAATAAAGCATATTCCTGATTTCCACACAATGTTGGAATCACAAGCATAGAGAACGTAATCTTCTCAATACTAATATTTAGCCACAAAGCACTTATCTCATATATGTTACTTAAGTTCATTCATTTACTTCTCTATTTAATGAACATTGTAAGCACTGATTACCTGGCAGTTAAGGGTGTTGAAAAGTCAGTCAGAAAAACAGAAACACATTCAACAGATAAAAATTAATTCAGCTCAAATACATTTTAAAAAATTGCTGATTCTATATTTGCATCAATGCATTTATAATACTCTCCATCACATATCTCAAACACAATCTGAACAAATTTTCCTAAAAGCTGCAGGTCGATACTTTAAAATCCATCTTAGTGATGAAAAAAATAGATGTAGTTATTGTTCCTATCTTTAGACTAGTGGTACACAGAGTTACTACTTCTGTGTATACACAATGTTTTTCACTTCCAAATCCTACCTTTGGAAAGAAATGCAGAGAACATAAATAAATTGTTCTCCAAATATTGCTTCCAAATGAGTTTCATGAATACAGTATTAAGTCTAATTACAAATCTTATGTGAGCATTAAAAGATCACCATTGCTACCTGCATTTCTAGGCACTGGATAATGTGGCCTACTGAAGCATAAAAATAAAAATCCCAGCAGTGCCAAGGCTTGCTATGCACCTGAAATAAATAAACCTCTTTAGAATACAAATTTCTCACCTGTAAAATCCGGATCAATCATACTGATTGTCAGTGTTATAAGGAATAACAGATTAAATACAATAGGTTGAGAAAGACCTCAAAATACTGCACAGAAACACCCGGTGTATGCTTCAGCACAAGGATCCTAACCACCCCCGGAAAATGAACCCTCCACCAAAAAAGGACCTCCCCTCCACCTCATTGATTATGCATAAAACATTAGGCCACCTCCAAACTGTTTAATATATTAACATAAATAGAGCACGTGACCCCTCGAGTGTCAAATCCTTAGTAGGTGATTATGGATTTTGGCCTTGGTTACCTTTAAAGTTCTTGATCACTAACTTCTTAGCAGAGCCAGGCTTGCTGTTAGCAAAGCTAGAGACGGTGGTAGAAGATTTGGCTAGGCCGTTTGCATGATGCACCGAAGCCACAGAAGAGATTAATATACTCTTATTTTTAAGTTGCTGCTGCTGAGATGTTGCAGCAGTTGGTGAAGATGAGGAGGAGGAGGAGGAGGATTCCTCAGCCATCTTCGCATCAAACCCTACAAACTCCAGGGTGTCTTCAAAACGCAGCTTCTTCTGTATCGGTACGTGGCTGGAAGCAGCCACTGAAACCCCCAGGCAGAAGGACGAGGTTGAAGGGGATGCCGAATCCCTGGGTTGTAAAGGAGGAGTGGAAGAGGAGGAAGAGGTGGAATCAAAGTCTTCTCTCTCGTTACTACTGTTACTGCCGCTACTGCTGCTGCTGTTTAACTTTCTCTTCTTGGCAGAGGTGGGCGGAGTGGTGCTGGTATTACCATCAGTGGCAGATCTGACCTCCTGAGCAGCAGCAGCAGCTGAGGGACTGGGGGAAGAAAAACCTGTTGGAAACATGAAAATAGCGGGGTCAACAGGCAGAGGAGCATCAAAAACCTACGTTTATATGCCTGCGTGCGTGTAGGAGAGAAGGTGGCAATGCTAGAGGGGGAAGGGAAGAAAGAAGAGAGGAGAAACACAGAGGACGAGAAGGAAAGTGAAGGGGGGGGCTACACCGGGGGAATGGGAGGGTTTGGGAAGGCGGGTAGGCTGACACCAGGAGTGAGCAGAACGAGGGGGGAGAGCGAATGAGGAGGCAGACAGGTAAACGGCGGTGCCGTCCCCCTCCCCTGCTTTTCGATCTCTCTCCCCCCTTTCTGCGGGAGCGACTCAGCGAGTCTGTGAGGCTGCAGCTCCTCCTCCTTTTCTCCCTCTCCCTGGGAGGGGAGAGGCGAGAGGCTGTGGTTGGGGGGAAGGGGGAGGGGGAAAGAACCGGGGCTTGTTATTGTCAATAGCACAAGAGGCTAAAGATGGCGCTATTTCCGGTCACGCGGAGCCGAGGGAGGGGCGGTGTCAATCTCTGGGAGTGGGGGTGAGGGAAGCGCAGCAGCCGCCCGGGGGGCGGGGGAGCTCACGCGTTGCGGGGGGCGGCGGGAAAGGGGCGGCTGAAGCGCCCTAGACGCTCGCGCTAGTTCGCTCCTGCTCCCGCTCCTCTTCGCGCTCGCCTTTCCTGTCAGCGCTTTCCTTTCCTGGCCCACTGGGAACTCCCACTCCCTCCTTAACGGTCCCGCGGGAAGCTTCGCGCCGCTGCGCCCTTACCGGAAGTGACCGGACAGACACTTTTCATAGCGCCCAGATCCCGAAGCCCCCAGGTCCGCAGGACTTGAGTGGGGGGGGGGGGGGGGGGGGGGGATATGGGGGGGAAGAAAAGTGGATAGGGAGGAGGGGGCGGGCCTTCGAGACACCTTCGGAGCTCCTGATTGGAGCTTTCTGAAGCGAGGGGGTGGGGGGTGGCGGGAGAAGGAGCGGGAAGGAGTCTGAGGGGGAGGGAAGGTAGTGACGGCGAGGGGCGGAGTGAGGTAGCTGGGAAAACGGAGGTGGAGGAAGAGGAGGAGAGAGGGAGGGACGGAATAAAACGTCAGTGTACCGGAGAATGGAAACTTTTGAAAGAGATAAAAGAATAAGGAGTGGTTGCAAGGCTAGGGGAGTAACCCTAAATAGAGGAAAACATAATCATGCCATTATGCCCGTTGCTGGAAAGGAATGTCACGATGTTAACATAGGAAAGAAGAAAAGAGCTAAGATAGGAAGAAAAGGACTTTTTGATTCGGTGCCGCTATTAATTGTTTCTCTTTTATCTTAAGGCACCACAGACCCAAGGCTGAATCAGGCCTGAGTTTTGATGCCGTTCTCATTCTGGTAGCTGTAAATCCTTTTACCTTCCTACCAGGAGCATTTTCTAAGCTGGCTGGCCAAATTAAGGGTGCACTCTAAGGTGAAGAAATAGGAACGTAACTAACCCCTCACCCACCCAGCACTATGCCCAGGCCGTCCTAACCCCGACTCCATCAGTCCTTAACTCAGTAATTTATAGACCAAAGCTAAGACCCACTTCCTCTTTTTGCCAAATCTCAGCTTATACGCTGTCCCAAAGGAGAGACATTTTAGAACAATATCGGCAAAAGTCAATGTTTTCTACCAATGTGTTTCATGAGCTTACGCTTTAAACTTGATTACTGATTTTTTAAATCTTTAAATTTGGTTAAATTAGCAACAATAAACCTTGTAAATTCCCGGTTGAGAGTTTTTACTTAACCTTGAGGCATTCTCAGAGGGAGGTAACACAATGTCAAAACTCAATTTGCCAACCTGTTGATCATGCTAACTGCAGAAGCATTCAGTGAGCATGTTTGGTAAGGCACAATGCAAGGTCTCTGCCCTTGAGAAGCCAGTGGGGGAAGATAGTTTCAAAGCTAATTTCCATAACAATACTGTAACAGATATACAAAGTGCTGTCAGAATAGGCAAAACAAGAAATTTGGGGGAAATCTGGAATAGTCAGGAAGAATTCTACAGAGATTATGTTGATGCTATGTCTCAAAGTGGGAATTGCCAAAAAGACAAGAGGGAACAGTATGAAAGGCATTCTGGGAAATGGAAACAAGAGCAAAGCAAGGAGTTGTGAAAAGGCCTGGCCTGTTTATGGAAACATGGAAAATGCAGTGAGGCTGGAAAGTAGGATGTCTCGCTGGGAGTAAGGAAGAGGAGGCTCAAAAGTGCCTGGCACACCAAGCCAAGAATTTGGAATCTACTCTGTAGGCGATCATAGATAGCAGGGGGACAATCCAGCAAGCAGAGCTTTTACAAACCAGGAGTGACAGGATTGTGAGTGGAGTAAAAGCAGCTTGTATGGCATAGCTTGTGATAGGTGAATCAGAACTCTGCAAATAAATCAACTTTCTAACTTTGTTTAAACAGGCCCACTTGTTTTTGTGTCTTGAAAAGTCCCTGATTAAAATGCAAATCAACCTTGGGCATTATCAAACAATATCATTGCTATTTGATGATAGCCTGCTAAAAGCAAGGCTCTACTGGAACTTAGAACCCAAGGCCCCTGAGAAGGGAGACAGGGGCCTGAAAGGGGACAGAAGGAAGCATTCCTATCTGTTTTGAATATACCACATAGTTTTGTTTGTTTGTTTGTTTTTTTAAGACAGAATCTTGCTGTGTCATCCAGGCTGGAGCGCAGTGGTGTCATCTTGGCTCACTGCAACCTCTGCCTCCTGGGTTAAAGCGATTCTTGTGCCTCAGCCTCCTTGAGTAGCTAGGACTATAGGCGTGTGACACCACGCCTGCTAATTTTTTTTTTGTATTTTTAGTAGAGACAGGGTTTCGCCATGTTGGCCAGGCTGGTCTCGAACTCCTGACCTCAAGTGATCCACCAGCCTCAGCCTCCCAAAGTTCTGGGCCTACCATATAGTTCTTGCTGCCCAAATAGAAACAGTAAACTCTTAAGGCCAGGAAAGATGCATTAAAACATTGAGCTTTCCTTTATCATGTCTCATATTTTACAAAACGCTGAACAACTGTAAATACAGGGTAAATGCTTATTGAATTGAATGTTTCATTGAATGTGGATAAAATCATGCTGTATCTTTATAAGGGAGGATTAACTGGCTCATTTTCAGGATTTAATGAACAAGGTTGTTCTAATTCATGTAGTTAAATTCTTTAGGAGGCTATATGAAGTGGTAGCCATTTAAAAAATACAAATATTAGTGCAACTGAAAGGGAATGGACATAAGAGAAGGCTGCTTTTGCCATACAAAGATAAACTATTCTACTAACCTACATGATAGCTAAGTCCTGTTAATATTTAACTACATTCTAGTAATAATAATTCTCAATCTCACATGGTTATCTAAGCCCTTCGGTCTTCTGAGTTATAGCTTGGTTTTAAAAAGCACAGATCCAAGCCAGGTGCGGCGGCTCATGCCTGTAATCCCAGCACTTTGGGAGGCCAAGGTGGGAGGATCACAAGGTGAGGCATTCAAGGCCAGCCTGGCCAACATGGTGAAACCCCGTCTCTACTAAAAATACAGAAATTAGCTGGGTCTGGTAATGTGCGCCTGTAATCCCAGCTACTCAGGAGGCTGAGGCAGGAGAATTGCTTGAACCCAGGAGGCAGAGGTTGCAGTAAGCCAAGATCGCACCACTGTACTCCAGCCTGGGTGATACAGTGAGACCTTATTACAAAAAGAAAAAGGCTAGGTGCAGTGGCTCAGGTCTGTAATCCCAACACTTTGGGAGGCTGATACGAGTGGATCACCTGAGGTCAGGGGTTCAAGACAAGCCTGGCCAACATGGCAAAACCCCATCTTTACTAAAAATACAAAAATTATCCAGGTGTGGTGGAGAATGCCTGTAATCCCAGCCACTTGGGAGGCTAAGGCAGGAAAATCACTTGAACTCTGGAGGTGGAGGTTGCAGTGAGCTGAAATTGTGCCACTGCACTCCTGCCTGGGCAACAGGGCAAGACTCTGTCTCGAAAAACAAAAACAAAAACCTACCAAGTTGATTTGTAAAATATCTTTTACATCAAGAACCAACTAATTGAGGCTAGCTGAAGAACATAAGCATATATTCTATACACCCAAATGTTTGCCAACCAATGTTAAACACATTCTTAACATTAAAATACATTTTTAAGGTTGAACTCACGGGAACCACAATAATCAAGATGTGTAATGTAGGACACCATACAATTATAGCCATTATCAGACTCAACCAGACTGGGCACTTAACACATACTTCATATTTAGGATCTTTCATCTTGTGAGTTCAACTCATACCTTAGAAACATTAATTAAACTTTACAATGCTACCACATGAGGTATAGTTATTATTGGCCGCCTTTTAACCAAGCTGTTTATAAAGGTAAGTATGCACATAAAGGAAGAAATATAAAGACAGGGACTAGATCTTATAATGTCCATTCCTTTATTTCTATGGACATCTCCCTAAAAAGTCAGAGTGTAACCCGTTTCCCTTTTTGATCACAGGGATCCGCCAGGGTGCTTGGGGAATCTAGATGTGTAATATAATGTAGGACACCATACAGTTATAGCCATCCGGGGTGCTTTAGGTCCTCTTCAGATATAGCAGTGGCTTGCCACTAGATAGATACTCCTGGAAGCCTTCCTATCCAATGGGTGGGATTTTCCTTAGGAATAGGAGAGACTGCTTGCCCAGGAGAATCTGAAGATGTTTCTGAAGCAAGCATTGTTTAAGAATGTATCAACAGGCCAGGCGTGGTGGCTCACGCCTGTAATCCAAGCACTTTGGAGGCCAAGGCGGGCGGATCACCTGAGGTCCGGAGTTCAAGACCAGCCTGACCAACATGGTGAAACCTCGTCTTTATTAAAAAAAAAAAAAAAAAAAAAAAAAAAAAAAAAAAAAGAATGTATCAACAAAACAAAAAACAGCTAGGCGCCGTGGTTCATGCCTGTAATCCCAGCACTTTAGGAGGCCAGGGTGGGTGGATCACTTGAGGCCAGGAGTTTGAGACCAGCCTGGCCAACATGACAAAACCCTGTCTCTACTAAAAATACAAAAATTAGCTGGGCATGGTGGTACGTGCCTGTAATCCCAGCTACTTGGGAGGCTGAGGCAGGAGAATCACTGGAACCCAGGAAGTGGAGGTTGCAGTGAGCCAAGATTGTGCCACTGCACTCCAGCCTGGGCGACAGAGTAAGACCTTGTTGAAAAAAAAAAGGAATGTGTCAAAAAAAAAAAAAAAAACAAGCCTGTTAGGTAAAAGGCAGTTTTTTCTTCATCCACTTTTCTGAAGGACCATCTTTGAAGCAGGAAAGTATAGAGAAGGCAAACTAAGCAATGCTGAGATAGTAAAGATAGTATCATAATAAGGGCTTTGTTATGCTATCAACACCAATGGGCTGCTGAGGAATCCAAAGCTCAAGCAAAAATAATCTATCTACACAATGTGAATTAAAATAATCTAACCACACAATGCTAATTCATCTGTTTCCCATCCTGGGGTTGCTTTATAAAAGCAAGGAAAGTAATAACGTGCTGAACCTATGTGCTAAGTAAAATAAATGTAAATAGATAACACAGATTCTTTCCTTCCTTTCCTTCCTTTCCTTCTTTCCTTCCTTTCTGACAGAGCCTCACTGTTGCCCAGGCTGCAGTGCAGTGGCGTAATCTCAGCTCACTGCAACCTCTACCTCCCAGGTTCAAGCAATTCCCTGCCTTAGCCTCCCCAGTAGCTGGGATTACAGGTGCCTGCCACCATGCCCAGCTAACTTTTGTATTTTTATTAGAGATGGGGTTTAACCATCTTGGCCAGGCTGGTCTTGAACACCTGACCTCGTGATCCACCCACCTTGGCCTCCCAAAGTGCTGGAATTACATGCATGAGCCACCGTGCCCAACCTAGATTTCATATTTTTAACAAAATTGTTTGT